TGTTTATGAGCCATCATCGGCATCTCTCGTCACTCAACCATCTTCTCTGTATTGAACCGTTATTTTCGTCTTCATTTATTGTGTGGATAAACTAAATTATTAATCGTCGCTTTCGCACTAGCAACACAGTCAACATCACAAACGGTCCCAATCAAAATCACCAATTGTGAAGCGACAGCTAACAACACAAGCAGTACCAACCAGCAACACGAACACAACTTAGAAGCGACAAACAACTTTAGACTGATTTGCCTTCTTGCAATGAACACAAAAAGTTGAAAGGGGCATCTGAAATGCTTTAGCAAACGTAATTGACCTATTTTTATTTACCGTAATGAAAGCAAAACAAAACTTACATTGGCATAAGCAAGGAAGAACATTTGTTCGCTGGTGAAATTTTGGAAACCAGGAAGTGATGCCTCAGTTGAGGTGGTATTTTTGATCCATGATTTGTAGGCCTGAAAAAAAAGTTGTTCAACCCATTTGAACGACCGTCAGCTGGTTATAATAATGTAGGCCAAATCATGCTTGATGAATGAAATGGAAAACAATTTTGTCAATCTCAGTTGGCAATCAAGCGAAGTGCTGCATTTTCCTGCGCTGACCATGAGAGCCGTTTTAACACCACCGTTATCGGCGATATTTTCACCAACGGATAGTCGTCCATTGAGATGCACACCAACTTCCTCAACTTTTACCGCTTCGTACTGCTTGATAAAACATTCCGTTTTTTCATAAAATTTATTCGCCGTCTGCCCATCCCACCAATCGTTTAAATTGCCCACTTTATCGTATCGCCCGCCTAAAATGCCGAGCATATTTGGAGAAAGCGGATGACACTTATGCATTATTATCAACTTTGTGCAGAACCTTGATCATCAAATGCATGCGACACTTCATGACCAACAACAGCCCCAACCATTGCATAGGTTATGTAGTTTGGTACACCAACGGACATGAACGGGAACTGCATGATTCCAGCAGGAAAGACTATAATGAAAATACCATTAACAGTCGCTGATTTCTGCACACAGTTATCTTTTTTGATTCCCGAAGCTATGTTCATTCAGTGCATCTCTTAATCAGTCTTCGCTCGCTCCATCAACTACATACTCTCACGCTAGCTCACCTGATTGTCATCACCATGTTTTCAATCATCTGTGTTGAAGGTAACATAAATGCTATCCGATAGCGATCCTAAAGTCTTAAAGCACATCCACAAACACTACTGTTATCCTCAGACTTGCAATTGAACGAACAAAACTTGCTGATGTTATGCAACATTTCTTCACCGAATCAAATTACAAACGCCAAGCACACTAACTCATTTCGTTCAAATTTGGTGCATAATATGCGTCCACTTGGGCTGGACTCTGAAACCAAATTGAACGATCGACCGGCTTTTTCAATCTGACCAGTTCATCTGCGACACGTGCTAGCTTGATTCGTACGGTCAGCTGCAGCAATGGCTCTGAATCGGTTGGTTCTTCCTCAAAAAAAATTTCGGTTAGATTCTGGATCGAGAATGGTTTCGGACGGCAAAGTTATTTCTCAAAAAGAAACCATCGAATTATTTGCGACGAATGCATAGCAATTTTTCTTATTTCTCAATGCAAAATCTCATCCAGATTATCCCCTCAAATGATACTACGCGTATCGTCGTCCCAAATCGTAAAATACGGTTATTTTTTGTAACGGAAAAAATACTATCATTAAAACGTACACCGCCCCAATTCTGGTTCATCCATGTTTCGTTGAATATGTATGACGGAAATCCACTTTTATATTCGATACACTTTGCTTTTTCAATCGCTCTCTTTTTTGTCATGTCATCCATCCAATCGACACTGTGCAACTGTGAAATAAGTTCATTTTTGAAGTACGTTGTCAGCTCGGTCATCTGAAAATGAAATTTACAACAAATATTCATATGCCAACATGCGTTTACATTCAAAGAACAGTAAAAAAGTGATCATTTGCTTTCATAGGCAGATTCAAAATGAGTATTTAAGATGAAAATCAACCAGTTCTTATTTACTGACACTTCCTACTACTAGTATAATATAGATCAAAGCATAGTAAGAATCACGAAAAAAAGTGGCAGTGATGCTGCCGGGCTGTTCCCAATTCAAAAACAATCTACAAAGATATCGCTAAGAACAACTACCGCGAATACCATCAAAATGCATTCGATAATATGAACAAGAAAAACCTTTCGCATTGCACGCTCTTTATCGAAATAATGCTCAACATACAGTTTACCAACGGGCATATCCAACATCGCTAGCGAAAGAAACACACAATCTTCCCATCTGAAATTTGTTATTTCGGATTCTAACGTAGACTTCATTCAGTGAATGGTAGCGCTTCATTTTGGTGAGTAGATGTGTCAAATCGAATGATGATCTTGCTGAGGAGATGTGCTAATGCAGTAATTCTCAACCTTTCCTGCTCCGTGCATCCCCTTTAAGATGTCCTTGTACCCCCTCTTACACCACTTACTCACTCCCTCTCACTCCACCCTCTCTCGCACCCCCTGACAGGCCGTCATGCACCCTCGGTTGAGAAACCTTGTGCTAATGGATTTTATTTTGCAAAGGCGATTCTTCTTCGCAGACTGCTATTCGTAGTGATCGATCATTGTTGTGAGTATGATACTCTCAGATTGCTAGATAATTTTGATGGATATTTGATACCTTTCTGGAATCGGTGAGTTGAACATTCCAGTTTGATTAGCTTTAAACTCATAGAATGGTTCACGCATTGTAGGTGGCAAAAACAGTGAATATACTTGAACTATCCTCCACTCCACATAATTTGATAATGTTCGTTTGTTGGTCGTTCGCATCACGTGCTAAATCATAACACATTCCATTAATCCATCATGGAACTAGCAATCTAACACTTATTTTTGTTCTTGTCAATGAAGTCTTTCCGCGATATGATTAAGCTGTAAGCTGTATGTCCTAACTCAAATACAGCATTTCGCGTGAACAAATCCGTAGCTTACAGCTAACGACGAAAAGCAAAAAATAATCATTCGCAAACGATCGCTGAAATGCTGTTGTTGTAGAGGATCCATTCATGATTGAATGTTTCCAAATCATAAACAATATGATTATCGACCATACTGTAATTTTAGAGTTATGCTATCGTTCAACAACAGCAACATATCTCTAATATATGTCACTATCTATCATATTCTCAAACTCATCACCTGTATTCCACGGAAATATTCAATCTCTCGCATAATCACGGTATCATTTGGAGTTATTTCAACGAGATCCTTGAAAACGGTCCGAATGTATTCATCGAAATTAATCTGCAACATTCGTTTACCACCAACTCAAGCATTCTTCTCTTGAAAAATTCTCACTCGAAATGAAAATTTTTGGAACAAAAATTAAATTTAAGCATCAAGTTTCAAGCGAAGATTCTAACCAACTTTTTATGAGCAACTTTAGAGATCACACTGAAAGAGTTTTCATACCAACTGTAGCACTCACATTAGGGAATAATTATGATTCAGGTCAAGTATGATATCGAACACTGCAGAACGAAAGGATTCAACAGCCGCATTGGCCATCACATCCCATTGAATGGAATGTATCTCTGAGAAGATTCGTTTTCTGAGCATAACCTTGAGAAATGAACAATTTGAAGTGTCACTTACATATGGGAACATATCTTTTAATTGCCAAAGCTGAAATGGATTATTACTTCGGTCGGGATCTCTGCGAACCATTTCATCTGCCGAAAAATTCACCAATTTCAACTCGAATTCCATGGCCTCCCTCATGTCCCTTTCGGCTATCTTTCGATCAGCACCTCAAAACGCACCATTCCCAATCAAAAGCTCGATTCTTTGCAAAAAAAAAACTTCGAATCAACTAGCAGCAATCATTCATCTCATCTGGAGCACATTATTTGCCCTAACTGAATGTATCAAATAAGTGTAATGCAAATATAAAGTTCGATAGATTCCTCTTGATCAAATAGATACCCAAATTGACTGCCGTTTGAATCATTAACGATGTATAATTCTGGATCATCCGATCATCGGGACCTGTCAAATACGGCCATCTTGAACCAACACCCCATTTGGGTTGATCAAGCTATAAATAAATAAGTGACATAAATCAGACTGTGCTTGTCAGAATATGATTATCATTTGAGATCGTACCTCAATGATACTCCTCGAGCTATTGTCTGGATCATGCGATACCGCCAGTTCAACGATGACTGCATTAACACCAGTTCTATTCAGAACAATTGCTAACTGCTTTTCCCAACTGTGTGACCATTCCCGCCAATCATCCCCATCTAGGACTGGCCATCCATCCAAGTCGCGAAGCAATTTACGAATCGCTGATACTCCATTCCGTTCTAATACCTCTGCAAGTTAGGTATCAACTACCCACTAGAATGGCATTCGATAAGATTGAGGACATTATCTGTTATGAGAATGCAATGTGGAATAATTTTGAGGGAAAATTGAATGATCATCACGTCCTGAATACTGCGACTATAGAAAACTTCTGACGATGATACCCGTTTTTTTCAGATCTTTTTTGAATGTGTCCTTCAGAGATTTTCATTGCAAGAAGCAGATCCTGATTGATCGTTGTAATCGAAGAGAACGACATAATAAGACGTTTCCAATAAATAGAACATGTAATACCCTCTTGAAGACATTTTTTATAGTATCGTTTCGCTAATCGATCCCATTTACGATCCGTTTCCGTTATTGGCGACTGAAAATGTGTAATTGTTTATAAGTGAATGCATCATCACATCCTCACAAACAGAATGCTGCCCAACGAAACTTTCCAAGAGGATAAATTGCTTCTAAAAATGTTCATATAGAATGTAAAGAATCAAGGCAAAAACAATAACTCACATCAAGCAATTTTTTAACTTGTTTGTTGAGNCACAAACAGAATGCTGCCCAACGAAACTTTCCAAGAGGATAAATTGCTTTTAAAAATGTTCATATAGAATGTAAAGAATCAAGGCATAAAAATAAAAACAATAACTCACATCAAGCAATTTTTTAACTTGTTTGTTGAGTCGCGTTTGCATATCGCTAAGCGTATGCCTAAGCGGTTTGCTGGCCGGTAGATGTCGATTAAGTCCATAATTTCCGCATGCAAATTCGTAGAAGTCATCACAGGGATCAATCTCAAATTTGACACATTGCTAAGACTGTCTTTAACAAATCAGCGAACTCTCCAAATGCACTTCCAACTATTTTGCTCATTGAGAAACTGCAACACAACATCGCGATTTTTGTGTGGCTTGAATGGATCTTGAACGAATATCCACGTATCTACTATCAAGTATCTTGAATTTGTGCATTCATATGATCAATTTGAGGCATCCGTCTCTATCGGAAACAGTGGATGATGTAATGATAGACAACCGGAAAATGTTATGCTGACAAAATGAGCTGAAGGAATTTCAGTAACGAAGTGTTTCAATTGAACAAACAATCAGACAAGAACTGGGCATGTGTTCATATCACTTATCCACACTACACCCTCCACTGTAAATCATCGCGATCTAGAAAACAGCGAACAATCACTTCAAATATCTTCCTATTTTTTATGGAGCTTTTTTTGAAGTCCCACTACAGTTTCAACAAACTGAGCGGCAAACAAGAACCATGTTTAGATTATGATTCAATGACTGAAAATAGAATCGAAAAAATAGAACGTATCAAAATTGAGCATATAGCGATATTATAATCAATCGATGAGTAAACATCATCTTCGATCGCTTCTTGACCCCACTTCGTGTTGATTCAACAACTACACCTAACACATTGCTCACCTCAAAAATCCACTATTCAGAACTGTAAAGTTGAATGAAGTTAATTGGTAGAGAGAATACTGAGAATGAGAAGTGAAAGATGGCTCGTTTGATTCGTATTGGTTAGGCAAGCGGTAATTGCTCATAATTACGAACAAATTCATGATTGAGGCTTGGAGACAGAGGAGATACTAACGAAGTTCACTATCCATTTGAATGCATCGCATTAGTGTCATAGAAAGCAATCAACAATCAATTATTAAAAATAATAGACGAAAGAAGAGTCGCACTCGCACACTGTAATTATCTGGGGAAAGCAATTGAATAGGACGAATGCAACTGATCGGAAGGCACATAGTCGTCAATGAAGAAGTAACCTTATCATTGAGATTGCCTGCCAAGAAACCCGCGATAAGAACACATTCCTTCGATGTGCACACCACATTATTGTGATGAGTGGCGCTTTTATCGTAAGCTAATTTAACATTATCCTCACTACTGACACTGGTCAGGAATATCGGCGAGAAGAATGTACCTGAAATTGAATGAAATGTGTGTTGGTATTCTATGGTTTGATCAAATCATATTTATGATTATTTGGTTATGAATCATATTTATGAGTGTACTTATGAAAATGATTTAGAATTTTAGATAGAACTTGAAAGTGAACCTATTTATAAATGTGTCTTAAGAGTGAGTGGTGTGTGTCAAAGTGAACGAGCGAAATGCAAACAAACCGTCAAAAATTTGTCGATATCCCTGAAGAATAACTAGCCATAAAACACAAACGCCAATCAGAGAGCATAACAAAACTGATGAGAAAAAGATGAGGCACACTTCCAGACGACTGAAGCCGAACAGAAATCGTCTGAAATTTGCGAAGATCTTTGCTGGAGTTGGATCCAAGAGCCTTTTTGTTTGGTAAGAGACAATTTTCGTTGTTCTGTTGTTGAAGGTTAAAATTAACAGTTATTAACAGTTGCCTTCGACATCAGAACAATGCAAATCTTTCTTACGTTGTACTGATTCGGGCATTCATTAGAGACTAATGAATGAAGTTGACTAAATGGCCTGAATTGAATGCTGCCCGAAAAATTCGTAATCTATAAAAATCTCTCACGAAAATAGAAGCATGCCTTCACTTTTCAACTTGTTCACCCACCTTTTTAAGTTTCAGCATTTCTGGAACTCAACCACGAAGGAGGGTTTACTTATCACCAAAACATCTCAAGCTATATAATGGCGTCTCCTCTCTGACAAACAAGGACTGAAGCATTTCCTCACTATCAAAATGGTGATCATCAAGTGATGATATCTTGAAAATTGCTATTTTGAGAAGGGAAATTCATAAAAGAAATTCAAGTGAGCATTGGAACAGTGCGAATAATCCCTGAAAAGTTTTGCAGTTCATGCGTTACTCTCTCAAAAGCTTTGCTTGATGCATTCGCACTGTTGACAAATTTATAAGTGTTACTCGATTATTACTTTTGTTATACTTACTTTCGTGAATCGTTATTGTTGAAGTGCTGCCAAGTGCTCCCATTCAAATATTCAGAATTTTTCATTTCGTAGTTCGGTTCGGTGATTTGCTTCTTAGACGGTTACTATTCTTATCAAAAATATTGCGAAAACGAGTAAAATATGAGTATAAGAAGGAAGAACAATATTGCGTGCCGCAATATGAATTGTGGTATCTGTGTGAGCTTGCACTACTAGTCCATGATGACTTTAACATTGAAAATGATGCAGATCTTCTGAAGTTTCGTTAAATTCTTTCTCGATCTGTGACGGTCATTTGGAAAACAATGTCAAAACGTAGATTATAACAATTAACTATTAGCGCATTTCACTGATGACGTATGTGCTCCACAAATGTGTGGTTGTACAGCAGCAGCGGAATAAGCTGCTGTTCAAAAACAAAAACAAAAAATTGTTCGTTGATAAATCTTGAGAACTTTGTGATGATCGATCGATCGCTTACTCTGCGGTTTATTTTTTTGCTGAGATCCACAAACAATACTCCAGAACCCATCAAATGGAATGCTTGAACTTTACGTCAGAAGTTCGCTTACGTTGCATATCAGCATGATGCTCATTTTATAAAATGAGTCAAAAATCAGTACGGAAGTCTGATGAACGATTACATTTTCGTGCAAAATGAGAAACTCTCAACGAGCACTCGAAATTTGAAGAATGAAGATAGAAATGCGCAATCCTATATCACGATCAAAAACTTTACAAGCGCATGTTGAATTAGATTAGATTACATTAACATTTCCTTCACATCGCGCCATTCTTGTCGTCAATGGATCACTATTGATGACAAAAATAGCACACGAACATCGCTTGGAGCTTGATAATTACACACCAATTATTCAGCAACAAATTACAAGTGAAAAGACAACAGTATAGCCGACTGGGTGATGTTGATAGTGGGAAGAGTTGAAATATTCACGGCATTAGGAAAAGACAGAATCAAAGTTGGTGAAAGTGGCAAGAGAATGAAAGGTTGGTTCAACCGAAAATATTTGATCGAGAACGAAGCAGACACCACCCGAAGTGATCCATCGAAAGAGTTTGTAAACGGTCGCATGTAAAGACTGCTCATTAATAATGGCTTTAAACGATCAAGTAATAAGCATTAAATGAACGATATAACACACAGCAACTAATTACGAATCCGATGATCGCTGATCCTCATCAGATTTCAGCAATACCCAAACAACTGTTACTGGTTGTAAGTAGGAGAAATGAACGAAACAATATGTTAGTGCTTATTGTTAGCGAGAAAATATTTCATGCACAGATAGATATATCCAGTACATTCATCAAAATGAATTATGTTATACTCAAACTGTTGAAGTTGATATTTACACAAATATTATATTTCACAATACAAATCATTATCACTTGTATCAATTCAATCTAATTTTATTACTGACAACAGAATCTTTTCTCATCGTTCTCTTCGCCTGATCTAATTTTATTATCACCAGGGTTTGAGTTCAGTTAACCACTTCACAGAGTTCGAGTTCAATTTCGAGCGAGAGCTGGAGGTCAGGTGATGAAAGAACGCAACAATATAAAGTGGTGCGATGAAATGATGTGATGAAGTGCTCCACAAAAAGAAATCTTTCATAGATAAATGTTTGAACTTGTTGCAAGAAGATGATATCCGGTTTGGTGAACGTAACTTAATTCTTCAAGGAAATTAAAAATAGACAGAAAGTGGTCAGCTGAAATTAGTTCTTCGACGAGACATAATGATGATACAATGAGGAATATCAAGAGCAACATAATAAATTGTGTTTATAATATCAAATCGTCCACGTTTCAACGACGACAAAATTCTAAAGTTAGCATAAGGCTTCTAAATCTTTCTTTAAGAACATATGCATGCTTTCGGCTTCTCTTATAAACATTCTTCAGAAATCTAATCCCACCTCCACATCTTCGCAATCGTTCACTCTATGTTCACTTTACTGGCTTTTAAAATTAAGTCAAGTCAAGCTGGTATATCAATTCGAATATAACTTTCAATCATGGTCATTTCTTGATTCTGCTGTTGGTGCTATCGTTAGCGAGATATGAACATAACTTTTCAAATGCCCAATGACGATGAAGTTTTTCGACTGAACCTAGAGGAGAAACTTTATGAAATAATGTTCCTGCAGGAACAAGATGAGACACCGATAAATTTTCGAAATATTCAGTGAAGAAACAATACTTGTTGATAGGATGGAATTGGAAGGCTGACTTAAGAAAATGAATAAAATATGGTTTGCTTGCTTGACGACTGATCGCAATATATCTCCTTTTGAATCAACGAAGTAACATTCTTCTGTCCTCGAAGGTTTGATGCATACAAATTGAGGCAGTATCCGAGAGTATTTCGTGAAAGTTTACAGGTCAACAATCTCCGAAAAAATATCCATGAATAGAATTCATTCATTATTGTTTCGCTATGCAGTAATCCTCGAGAGTCATCTTTTTCAACTGTGACTTAAAAGGAAAAATGCTGCCTCTGTTTTTTGAGAAAAATCACCCTTTTGGGATTGAATATGTTCCGTTTGTTGTTTGATTTGGTCACAATCAACGAGATCGATTCGCTCATACAGAAACAAATTATATTTTATCAGTTTACTGTCACATGTCTGCGTATGTTCCAGCTCAAAAAATTATTTTCCTCTTAAATTTGGTTTTTTTCCGTATTTTACTAAAGTTGCAGTCCGCCAACCCGTTCGAACAATACATTCAATCGGCTGCTTATACTTCATTGTTATCGATAATGAAAGCGCAGTATGGCAATCTTTCGAGTGAACTCAAGACCTGCTATAGTCTCAGTATCATTCACGTGAGTCATGCTTAAATTTAGCTCCAGTAAATGATGTTGTGGCTTCAGCGGATGGCTGGCATGCACGACTCCTAGTGTAGAGTACGTTTGACGAAGTGCGACGATGATGCGACGTTTGAGGTAATTCCTCAAAATACTTACCGCACACGGCGTAATTAGGAAGATATTCACTCGACATAACGCACACAATTCGATGCGTAAAAATGGATGGATAAGAGATGAAAACTAACCAAGAAATAATTTTCCAACGCAATTAAGCTCAATGGATGTAGGAAAGGAACTGATTGAATGGAAAGTGAACGCGACACTGAACAGTAAATACGTAAATGAATCTGGCATGGAACTGAACACCGCAATGTCTTAATAACATCAATGACGGACTGGTGCTCAATGCTATAGATGAGCGACTGCTGGCTGAATAAACTGTGGTCGAGTAAATTGAAATAGTCGGGGTCATCAAAATTCCATTTAGTCACTGATGTGCTCTTTAATAAATTATTATTTAGTCAAGCGGGACTTATTGTGTAGGTGATGAAGTAAATAAGCAAAATTTCAAACAAGAGATAAACGAACTGACTGGCTGAAGAAACAATGAAACTAATTTGTTGTTTGCACTCGTTCCACTAAATGGTTACTTTACTTCGTTTGTGCAAGATCGGATAGATACGGCAACAAAAAAGAATGACACTAGATGATTACAGAATAGCACTTTGATGTTCAGCACAACTAGAATAAAAGCAGTTTCTGAAGTATAATCAAGTGTTTGATTATAGTTCCAAAACTGTAACGAACAACTTAAAATATGATGTATGCAATTAACGAATGCATGTCTCTTAATAACATCAATTAAGAACATCGCTAGTGTTGACTGAGAAACGTTTTGAATAAACAGACTCATCATTGTTATCATTCCGTACCTTCTCAGCAGTGATATATACGATAATTCATAGCAACAATCGTACCAAGTTGTTCATTTTAGCAACAGAATGAGCACTGCAAGCACAGTCAAGTCGTCGCTGAGCATAAGCAGAGGATGAACAACTTAAAACTCCAAAACAGAAAATAACGAAATTTGATATTCATCAAAACTGAATCGAATTGAATCCATCCCAAATCCCCTGAGGTATCATCACGTCTGATGAAGACGGGAGGAGGACTGACATATCTATATAAGAAATAGATTATATTCTCGCGCTATATATCTCACGCTTGCATCTTCATCATTTGAATGGATTGTGAACGAAACTTATTTAGTTCACTCACTCGTTCTTCACTGATATCGATCAAATGAATAAAATTAAACCCTCATTCCGTTTCATCGTTGCACAGCGCTTTACTAACACGAAACTTCCTTGACGGATGGATGCTTTCGGTGTAGCAAACGTATCTTGTTGAGAAATTTCTTTTATTATGAGTTGAAACATTCACAACGAACTTATTCAATTCCTTCTCAAAAAGTTCTCTACAAATGACAGTATGTGTTACGGATCAAGCAGTCCTTCGAAACTACGAACAATGAGCTAGAAATCAACAATCCACATGAAATAACTGCACAAGTTTTTGCTTCATCCAATTATAATAGAAGTCATTCTTTTGTGATCAGTTTGCGAATATTGGTGTCTTAAACAATGGTTATCGATTGATAACGCAGAAATATTCATCAGTTATGGCAAAATAAAACAACACTAAATTATGGTCTTAATGCAATCTATCGGCAAAATTATATTTTATATGATTTTGGAAATGGTTACGTATGAAGCATTCAAAGGAGAAGGCGTTGGTTAAAAATTGATAATATACGAGACAGATAAAAGATGGCAGAGGGAAGAAGTAGCTTCAAATTATATCCGATATGAACGCTATCTGAGGGATATTTCCATTCCAGAACGACAATAAGTGTGGTCGACCAAAATAAAATTAAT